AAAAAAATTGAGAGAGAGATAAAAGGAGGACATGACTGCTCCTAGGTATGGTGGAGAAGATTTATTGTTGATGAAAAGGAGAGCATAGCCAGAGGCAGAGACATCTGGGAGAGCCCAGAGTGAACAAGACCCAGAGCTGTGCCATATGAGCAGAGTGTGGTTGAGGGGTCGGGTACCAAAAGGCCAGGAGGGTAAAGGGTAGAGTGGGTATCAAAAATGGCTGGATTATATAGCGAAGGGTATGCCAGCCATACCTTGTAAAGGGTAGAGACTGAGACTGGGGGCTGCTGGTAGACCTGGCAGTTAGGTCTGCTTTGGTGTGTTACATAGGCATCTCAATTAGCTTTTTGTCCTGGGTTTGAGACCTAACAGTTACTACTACTTTGTCTATTTTCTTTGGTCATAAAAGTAAATATGAACCGAGTGGTGGTGGCAGCGGTGCATGCCTTTAATCTCAGCACCTGGTGGGGGGTGTGGGGGATTGGACCGCAGGCAGAGAGGCAAGAGATCTGTGAGTTTGAAGCCAGCCTGGTCTACAAGGCAAGTTCCAGGACAGTCAGGACTGTTTGACAGAGAAACATTGTCTCAAAAAACAAACAAAAAGTAAGAGTTTTCATCAAGACTCACCAAAAATTTGGTCCTAGGCTTTCTGTTAAGTAACTGGCATTTTACCATCTCTTAGTGTACATCTATTTTTTTTTTTATTTGTAGACATTTATCACTCAGGGAGCTAACTGTCTCCTTATGTCACCTTGTTTTTGTTCTGTTGATTTCAGCCTGATAAACTTGTGATGCAGGGCATGGTGTGGGTATCTCCTTTGCCACCAGTCTCTCTACAGCTTATTGCTGTATAACCATTCACTAAGTTCTGCCATTCCAGATTCCTGGGTCTTAAGCTTTCGTCATAAGTTTTTGATCTCTCTTATTTGTCTTGTTTTTAGGTTTTGTTTTTTGTTTGTTTGGTTGGTTGGTTTATTTATTTATTTATTTATTGGAGACAGGATTTCTCTGTGTAGCCTTGGCTGTCTTGGAACTTACTTTGTAGACCAAGCTGGCCTTGAACTCAGATCTGCCTGCCTTTGACTGTCTGAGTGCTGACATTAAAGGCAAGGGCCACCACTGCCCAGCCAGCCCCTCCTAACTTCTTTAGCCTACTGTTGCTCACCTCTTCTCCTCTTATTTCCACAAAACAGAAATTTTTCAGAAGCAAATTTCTTCACGTAGCTTTCCTATTTTTCTCTCTCTGTTAGTTCTTGTTGCCTTCTGGTTGTTACAGATACAAAGTGCACCAGATCATGACCAGTAAATTCCCTGCATTTTCTAATATTTGCCATTTTTTTCAGATGTCATCTCATAACTTTTTTTGAGACAGTGTTTCTTTGTGTAACAGCTCTGGCTGTCCTGGAACTCACTGTAATCCAGGCTGACCTCAAACTCACAGAGATCCATCTGCCTCTGCCACCGAAGCACTGGGATCAAAGGTGTGTACCACTACCGATAATGTCCTATTGGTTTCTGGAGTGTACTGTGTGCCTTTAACCCTCACATCATATCCATGTGCTGTTCTAGCCTTGCCTTTGGAGCTTTTCTTGCACTTTTACTTAATCATGTTTTTCAGCAGGATCCCTTTACTGCTTCATGTGAGCCAGAATCTTTAGAAGTTAACTTTTTTCTGTGAAGTCCACATAGAAACTCAGCTAAACAGTTTCTTTTATAACCACCATAGACAATGTGTAAAGTGGACATAGCTATGAACTTTACTTAGAAAGATAAGTAGGTTTGGCTCATGTGCTGTGGTTACCAGTTCCTAATATTTATTGTCTGTAAGTGTAGCCTTTATATATTTATATGTCTCTATACATTTTTATGCTATATATACCTTATACTATGAATATCTTTATTATACATACATGTGTATGTTTATAATTTATTGTTGTCTCCTTTCCTCTGTGGTCAGCATGTTATGATCTCTAGCTGTGGCTGCACCATGATAAGAAAAGGTGTGTGTTCATAGAGAAAAAACTAGGAATATGCTTCTCTTTTCTGACTCCTCCCCTCCTTTAAAGCACCTAGAAAAGCTGCAAGTGTCATAAGGAAAATACTAATATGTTCATAGGCTTAACTCTAGGCATAGAAATTATATTAATAAAATTTTAAAACTGATGCTTATATATGTGTATGTATGCCCAAGGAAGCCAGAAGAGGGCACAGTTCCCTTGGAGCTTGAGTTGTGGGTATGGGTGCTCAAATCCAAACTTGGAGATTTTGGAAGAGCAGTAAACTATCTTTACAACTGAGCCATTTTTTAGGCTCTAGGACCTGATGCTGTAACCCTTTAATACATTTCCTCATGTTGTTCTGACTGCTAACCATAAAATTACTCTTGTTGCTATTTCGTAACTGAATTTTGTTACTGTTAAGAATTTTATTGTAAATACTTGCGTTTTTTCCCATGGGTTGAGAACCAGTGCTCTAGGAAATATATTCAGTGTATCCACACATGAAGTAGAATTTTTTTAGCTAAAAAACAGCTTTAAACTGTTGTAGTGTATTGGCATGTGGCATGTGTGAGTGTGCATGCACAGGCTGTGACTTTTCTTATGTGGAGGTTAGAGGACAGCTTTGTGAGTCAGTTTTCTCCTTCGGTTTTTCTCAGTTTTTCTGAGTAGTCTGGGCGAGCTGGGCCTCTTAAGCTGCAGGCCAATTCTCCTGTTTCTGCTTCTCCTCTTGGCTATAGAATGCCAGAATTCAAAGATATTTGCCACCACATTCTGCTTTTTGCATGGAGTTTGGGCTTCAGAGTCATGTTGTTAGGTGTGTGGCAAGCACTTTTACCCAGAGTCATGTTGTTAGCCTTAACATACAGCCTTTGAAAGGACTTTCGTTGGGAGTTGTTAAAATAAAACAAGCCAGAGAGGCAACTGTCATTTCAGTGCTATTCCAGTCTCGACTAGATCCCATATATAAAAATATACATATAAATCAGTCATATCTGTCTTTTCTTTGCACCTATTTGTCCTCTCCAATATCTTCTCTGATCCTATGATAGTAGTAATAAAGAATAATTATAATAACCAATTAAATGGTTATATTTTTGTGCCAATTACCATTTTTACTTTTTTTTGTTTTTTTTTTTGTTTGTTTGTTGTTGTTTTTTCGAGACAGGGTTTCTCTGTGTAGTTTTGGAGCCTATCCTGGCACTCGCTCTGGAGACCAGGCTGGCCTCGAACTCACAGAGATCCGCTTGCCTCTGCCTCCCCAGTGCTGGGATTAAAGGTGTGAGCCACCAATGCCTGGCCCATTTTTACTTTTAAATTAACACATTAACTCGGTTCATCCATTTTACTACTTCATTGTCTATGCTTTAATTGAGCTTTCCCGTATCTACTAAAATTGCCTACTAAGAATACCTGTCTAATCATTTCTGTCTTATGTTTTAAATTGTTGATTGATGCCTCAGTCTATTACAGGATTTAGTTCCAACCTTCCTTTCAGATATGATTCATCCTTTAGATAATGTACCAATAAAGCACTATTACTTGTCTTTAATCACTTTTCTTGTTGATGTAACACATACCTGACAAATGCAGCTGAAGGATGGAAGGCTTACAATGCAGAGAGAGGTACAGTTCACCGTCATGGGGAAGTAATGGGGGAACGCAGTTGGTCTCATTGCATCCACTGTCAGGAAACAGAGAGCCTTGAATACTGGTAGTCAGCTTTCATTTCCTTTATTCAGTCTTTGATTCCACCTCTCATTATGGTGCCACCTGCTGTTAGGGTGGGTCTTCCCACCCAATTAGTCAAATCAACAAAATCCCTTAGACATTCTGAAATGATTTTAGATTCTGTCAAGCTTACAATCTATATTAACCATCAGGAGTCTACCCTTATCAGTCTACCCTTATCATATGCTGAAATACCATTTTTAAGCCTAAACTTACCCTTTGTTTTTAGAGGCTCATGGCTGTCTCATAATAACAAAATGCATTTAGCCCAACTTCAAAAGACAACAATAGTCTTTAACAGCTGCAACAACTGTTCAAATTTTCAAGGTCTCATTTGGCAATTAAATTTTCTTTAATTTATTTACTTTTTGTATATGAATGTTTTATTTGCATGTATGTATATGCAGCACATATGTGCAGTGTCTGTGAAGGAATTGGATTCCCAGAAACTGGAGTTACAGGTACTTGTTAGCCACCATGTGGGTTCTGGGAACTGAACGCAGGTCCTCTGCAAGATCTAGTGCTTTTTGCTGCAGAGTCACCTTTTTAGCTCCTCAGGCAATCTCTTAACTGAGAGCCCTATACCGGTGGTTCTTAACCTTTCTAATGCTGTGACCCTTTAATATAGTTCTTCATGTTGTGGTGACCCCTCCCCAACCATAAAATTCATATTGCTATTTCATAACTGTAATTCTGTTGCTATTATGAATTGCAAATATCTGATGTGCTAGATTATCTGATTGTAACCCCTGTGAAAGGGTCGGCCAACCTCCAAAGGGGTCTTAACTCACAGGTTGAGAACCTTTTCCCTATACAATTTTAAAAAGGAAAACAGCTGGGGGGGGGTGGCAGCAGCAGCAGCACCTGCCTTTAATCCCAGGACTTGGGAGGCAGAGGCAGGTGGATCTCTGTGACTTAACAGCCAGCCTGGTCTACAGAGCAAGTGCCAGGATAGGCTCCAAAGCTACACAGAGAAACCCTTTCTTGAAAAATGAAAAAAGAAAAGTGTGTTTCTAATTTCAATTGAAAATGACACAGAGTAAACATTCCTACTCCAAAAAAGAACTAGGACACTGCAAGGAAAAGTAAAACAAAAGCAAGACTGAAAACCAGCAGGGCAAACTTCAGATCCTGTATTTATATAGTATTTATGGGGCCCGTTATATGAATGCCCTGGATTCCAAGGATTTGGGTAATTCTGTCTAACTCCAACACATAGTCTCTCTCTTGGCCCAGCTCCACACTGTCTGTAACTATCAATTTGGCTAAATCAAACAAATTTAGACACCTGACAGTGGATACCCCATGGTCCTGGCAACTCCCAAATCCTGGAGTCTCCATCTTAACTTTGATTACACATTCACAGTTAACTATAATGGCCCTGCTGGATCCTTCTGCAGGAAATTCTTCCCTGCCACACATTGTCTGGCCTTAGTGGCTCTGAACTCTGTGACACTGGTCAGGTGCAACCGTACCCCTTTGGACCATGGTAGCAGTGGTTTCTGCATGTAGTCCCGGCGGTTTGTACTTTCAGAAGGTGAAGACTTCAGTAGGTAGAGACTTATTTTCAGGAATCCTTTTCTCTTGCTTCTTTACAAAGCACCAGGTTTCTCTGACCATGTTTCTGCTTTGTCTGTAAGGTTAAATTCATACTTTTTCTCAGCAAATTGCAGTTTTTGTATCATTCAGTTGCCATGTTTTGCTTTCTTATACTGTCTTCCACCTTAAGAAATAGCCATGCTGCAGTCTGGATACTTATACTGTTTTAAAATTTCCTCTGCCAAATAAATTAATCCATTACTTTGAATTTGCCTAACTGTGTTTTGTAACACATGGGCAGCATACAGCTAGATTCTTTGCCAGAATATCATATACTGGCCTCTAGCTTAGTTATCAGTAGAGTCGTTATTTCCCTCCAAAACCTCATAAGCTGAGCCTTCACGTCCTATGACCTGGAAGTTAAAGGTACTTAAAGGAAGGTATTAGTGGACAGTATTGGGGTGTAAAACGAGAGAGGCAGTACTTGAAGGTGCTCATGGGTGATTTAAAAAGAATTGGCTGCTTCAAAATTGAGGTTTAGAGTATAAGTTCATGATTTTAGTGACCAGGGGACCAGTACAAACACCTTCTCTTCACTGATTTGGCACATATTGTTATAGTTTTACTTCTCCCTCTTTTTAGAGTCTCACAAACAAAATTTTGCTTATTGCTTGTTTGAACAACCTTAAGAATATGGACTTGTATAAGAACTGGAAAGATGAATTATTGGCTAAAAGCACTTGTTCCACAATCATGAGGACCAATATTTGGATCTCAGCTCCAGTATAACAAGCTAGGTATCCCTACAGCTCCCTGTGCCCCAGGAGTCATAAGTGATTGGAGTATGGCTCAGGCTTGCTGACAAACATCATAGCTGAAAGATGAACACAGGCACACTCACACATACTTGAGCATATACTCAGACATAAATTGTAAAGGGAGGATATGTACTTGACTTTTGAAGTTGGAAAGCAACTGGCCATTTTTCTTTAATGAAGACATTTCAGAGAGATTTTTGAAGAAAACGGGAATTCCTTACCCCTCGGGGTAACAACCTGCCTTCTGAAGTATAAAACTGCTCATGCTCTTCCTCCTTCTTCAAGAAATAATCATTGAGCCCCAACCCCTGTGCCTATATGGTGCATGATATAGTCACTAAAAAGGTTGTTGATTTTATGCTTTTTGCTTTTGCTGTTTTATTCTATTCCTCCATTATCCAATCTTTAGGCACTTGTCTTTTGTTGAATTTTATCTTCTAATGGTCTGTATGATCAGGACTATGACTACGTAATAGTGAGAATTTTTAAATAATTTTGGACTTCTAAGTGTTTGCTGTGTATTACATGCATGCAGTGCCTGCAAGGTCCAGAAAAGGACCTGGCGTTATAGTTGTGAGCTGCCATATGGGTCCTGGGAACTGAACCTAGGTCCTTTGAAAAAGCAGCCAGTGATCTTAACCCTTCAGTCATCTTTCCAGTCCCTGAATGAAGTTTTTCATATACAAATAGAAATATTTTTAGGGCTGGAGAAATGGCTCAGAGGTTAAGAGCACAGGCTGTTCTTCCAGAGGTCCAGAGTTCAAATCCCAGCAACCATCTGGTAACTCACAACCATCTATAATCAGATCTGGTGCCCTCTTCTGGTATGCAGGCAGAATACATGCATAATAAATGAATCTAAAAAAATACTTTTATATGAAATCAAAGATCAAATTACTTTGTGTATTACAATATTATATCCTGTCTATATAAATAAATTAATATCAGAAAAAATCTGTGATCTAAATACTCTTTATCTTTAGACATAAACTCATTTAGGGATAACATAAAATTTCTATAGTTTGGTTTAAAATTTAAAAATGAGGTTGAGTTTTTATTATTGCTTTAAAATTATGCTCTGCTTGTATAATTTAATAACAATAGAAAATACATTCAACTATTGAATCCTTTCCTGTTTGTTCTGTTACTTTCAGAATTTGGTGCTTTTTTTGGTACCACATAAAAATAGATTTTTCAAACTTCAAGTCATGTGTTCTTTGCTTCTATATTAATTATGTGCTTATATGTGCATATATGTAACATACATATGTGACATGTAGAGTATTTGTTATTTAGCTGAAGAAACTTTTCAAAGCTGTTTCCTTTATAAAAATTGTTTCTATATTTTCAGATTAAAACTGGGAACAGTATTACAAATATGTTGGTTATTTTTAAACAGGTACCGATTAAGGAACAAAAAGATGAGTGCAACTGTAAGAACGTTCCCTCTTCTGAATAAAGTTGGTGTAAACAGCACTGTTACATCCACAGCTGGAAATGGCATTCCTGTCATAGGAAGTACTGAAACATCTGGGAAAATTGTTCCAAGTACAAATGGAATTTCAAATGCAGAAAACAGTGTTTCCCAGCTAATTCCACGAAGCACTGACAGTGCATTAAGGACTCTGGAGACTGTGAAGAAAGTCGGGAAAGTTGGCACTAATGGCCAAAGTACTGCTGGGCCCTCTGCAGAGTCTGTATCTGAAAAGTACGTATTGGATGAAAATGATGGGGTTCTTTATCGCTTTTAGAAATGACCTCATTTTTTCATTCTGAGGTATAATAATTATTTGGAATTTTTATGCACAGTTATTCATGTAATAGGAGAAAAAAAACCACTAAATACAAAGAAAATTGACGGTTCTTTTCTTCCCCCTGTAGTTGTTTTTTTTTTTTTTCTTTTTTTTTTTTAAAGACAGGGTTTCTCTTTGAAGCCCTTGTTGTCCTGGAACTCTGTAGGCCAGGCTGGCCTCAAACTCAGAGCAATCCAACTGCCTCTGCCTCCCAAGAGCTAGGATTAAAGGGTGTACCACCACTCAGCAGAAATTTGAGTTCTAATCCTCACTAGGCAACTAAGTAGCTTTGCAAACTTGAAAAGCCACTTCAACTCTTTTTCGAGACAGGGTTTCCTTTGGAGCCTATCCTGGCACTCGCTCTGGAGACCAGGCTGGCCTCAAACTCATAGAGATCCGCCTGCCTCTGCCTCCCGAGGGCTGGGATTAAAGGCGTGCGCCACCAATGCCTGGTGCCACTTTAACTCTTGAGTTTTGTTTTCTTCGACTGTATCGGTGAGGTTGGACTAGAATTAGGGTTTCCATGCCTTTTATTTTATTGAGTTCCACTACTAATTTCATAGTGATGCTAAGTAGAAACCTAAACCGGTGAGAAGGTTGAATGTCTAGCTCCACTGTGTTTCATTCAGCTCCCACTGTGTCCCAAGGGCAGACTCTTGGGAGCCAAACTCTTTGGGCTCAAATTATGGCTTACTTTTTCCTCCTATTGGATGTTAAGGCAATTGTTTATCAGTCTACCTCATATGGGCTAGACATGCAACTCAGTGGTCAAGTACTTACATAGATTGATTGTGAAGTTTAAGTGTGTTGAACAGTACTTACCCTTTAATAGCCACTCAGTGGATATCGGCTTCATTTTCACTCCCATTATTGTTGTTGGCTCTCAATGAAAGATTTCATCTAACAAAAGGATTTTTTTTTTAAACCTTGTGAAAAGTGTTGAAATAATTGGGAGTTACTTCCAGTTTTGGAATCTCATATTTTGACGTTTAAAATTTGAAATTAAAGCATTTTCAAATTTCATTGCCCTGGAATAAGTTTGTCAGTACTAGTATATACTTACTGTGGAAAAAAGAATCATGCTTGGCACTGAACTTACTGATTTCATGTCATAGAGACTATGTAAGTTAAAAATAGGATTTTTTTTTTTTTTTTTTTTTTTTTTTTTTTTTTTTTTTTTTTTGTTTTTTTTGTTTTTGGTTTTTTGGTTTTTTGAGACAGGGTTTCTCTGTGGCTTTGCAGGCTGTCTTGGAACTAGCTCTTGTAGTCCAGGCTGCTCTTGAACTCACAGAGATCCGCCTGCTTCTGCCCCCCAAGTGCTGGGATTAAAGGCGTGTACCACCACTGCCTGGCTATAATTTTAAACTTGTATGGTTCAGTATATAATGGGAGAAATTCTTTATTAAAAGGATGATCTTCTCTGTATTTGAGAAAAGACACATCAAATATTGACTACTTCATTCCAAGCTTTGTCACTGGTACTGTTAGAAATACCTGAAAAATAGACTTCTCTGGTTTTAAAGGACTCATAGTGCTATAGATGTGGATGCAGCATTTATACAAATGAAGCATTACTTAAAATACAGGCATATTCCATGTTCCTAATGTTGTGTAAAAGTTTTGAGTGAGCGAAAAAGAGTATGGTGTAAGTTGTAAGAATGTGAAGTATTAAGGCTAGCCTTAGAGGACTGAATGTTTATGCTGGAGATACAGCTCAAGGGTAGAGTGCTTGCTTATAGCATGCACAGTGCCCTGGGTTTGGTTCCTAGCACCAGACACTCATTTATGCATCTCAAGGTTTGTATCACTGACTGATACATAAAATAAGGTTACATAAGTTTATTGTTATGAGGCTATAAATACCTTATACATATTTAGAAAATAGAATCCTGAAGATTTTGACAAGGTAACATTACAAAACTAGTTTATTCATACAATGGGTTCTGTTATTTAGCCCTGAAAAATCAGTAAGGTACTATATTATGTTTCACATGTTGATCAGCCTTGGAAATATGCTACATACCAGGCCTGGTGGTGCAGGTCTGCAGTCTTGGGCGCTTGGTAGGTTGAGTTATTAGGATCTCAAAATCAAGGCTAGCCTAAGATGCAGAAGAAATTGAAGGCCAGCTTGGATGAATTAGTAAGACCTTATCAACACTCCCTACCCGCCACTCGGTATATAAGTTAGTGGTGGCATGCTTCCCAACATGCGCAAGGCTCCACTTTGAATATCCACATCCAAGAGAGAAAGAAAAAAAAAAAGTTACTCTGACTGAAAGAAACCATTCACAATTCAGTTTAATCAAGTGTCCAAAATAGGCAAATCTGTAGAGAAAGACATGTAGTCTTCACTGCTTTGGTTAAGGATGGACTTACTGAGAGAATGCTAGGGGTGCAGGCTTCTGTTTAGATAGTTGGAAATCTTACATCAAAAGCCAATGATAGATATGTCAAAAACATGAATTATAGTTGGAGGGTTTAACTTTCTTTTTTTCCTTTGGTCTGGGAATCAAGCCATGGTCCTTCTATATTTTAGGCAACTGCCATACCACTTAAGAAATAGACAAGGACAGCCAGGCAGTGGGGGCACACGCCTTTAATCCCAGCACTTTGGAGGCAGAGGCAAGTAGATCTCAGTTTGAGGCCAGTCTGTCTATAAAGTGAGTTCCAGGACAGCCATGGCTACCTAGGGCAACCCTGTCTCAAAAACTAAAATAAAAGGAAAAAAGAAAAGAAACAGAAAGAAAGAAAAGAAATGGACAGGGCTAGTAAAATGATTCAGTGTGTTGATGAAGGTTCTTGCTGCCTAGCCTGATGACCTAAGTTCAGTCTCTTCAAACCATATGGTGGAAGGAGAGAAGGGACTTCCAAAAGTTACCCTCCTGTTCTTCATATGTACAGTTTGGCAAGTGCATGCCGGTGAATACACACAAGCACACAAAATAAGTGATTAGGTATAAAATAGTATTTGTAAGGGCTATCAAGATGGATTGTAAGAGAAACGCACCGGCTGCCAAGCCTGACAACTGGTGTTCAATCCCCAGGAACTACAGTGTTGTAAGGCAAGAATGTACTATAGGCTGTTCTGCCTTCTCTGTGTTTGTACACATGCATTCGTGCACACATGAGTGAATTAGATGTAATAAAAATTTTAAGATATAAGAAAAGTACTTATTCATTTAAATTTGTGGATTACATGCCAAACATGAAACCAACTGTTGTTCTTTTTTTCATCATTTTTTTTTTGTATTATTTCTATATAGAGAAAAACACTTTCATTTCACAGCTCTAATGGCTGCCTTTTCCCTGTGAAAGTATAGAGAAAAACACTTTCATTTCACAGCTCTAATGGCTGCCTTTTCCCTTCTTTCCCTGGAAAGAAGATACTATTGAATTTTTCTTGTGCCTTTAGAAAGAGTAATCAGTTTGCATTTATGATCTGAGCCATCTTTTCTACTAACATCTCTTCAGTTACTTTGACACAAAGACTTTTTTTTTAATAAATATTCTTTTTTTTTTAAATTTTATTTATTTATTATGTATACAACATTCTGCTTCCATGGATATCTGCACACCAGAAGAGGGCACCAGATCTCATAACGGATGGTTGTGAGCCACCATGTGGTTGCTGGGAATTGAACTCAGGATCTCTGGAAGAGCAGTCGGTGCTCTGAACCTCTGAGTCATCTCTCCAGCCCCAAAGACTGTTTTTTATAAAGATAAAAGTTATATTAAAAACGAGTCTGCAGAAGGCAGACTTGAAAATTCCTTTCTTGAACTGCAACTATGTGTGTTTCTGAATGAAATGGTTTATAATACTAGACATTATTTTGGATGGACTGTAGAGTGGAAAGTATCAAGTACTGGGGGGGGGGAGGTGACCTGAATCATTTCCT